TTTTTCCTTCCTCGTTCTTCTAAATGCCTCCTTGCCTGATAGTTCTTTCGCCTTTTCTTTGCTTCCTCTTTCTTTTCTCTCTCTCTGCTCCCCCTCTGTCTCCCCCATCTCTCTCCTGCCCCATCCTACCTTTTCTCTTCTTTTTTTTCTCTTTTCTTTTTTCTTTTCTTTTCTTTTCTTTTCTTTTCTTTTCTTTTCTTTTCTTTTTTCTTTTCTTTTCTTTTCTTTTTTTTCTTTTCTTCTCTTCTCTTCTCCTCTCTTCTCCTCTCTTCTCCTCTCTTCTCCTCTCTTCTCCTCTCCTCTCCTCTCCTCTCCTCTCCTCTCCTCTCCTCTCCTCTCCTCTTCCTTCGCCTCACCTCTTCCTAAACCCTGCCTTGCTCATCTCCCTGCCCCAACATCCTGTGCCATCCCTGTGGTGTTTCTGGTCTTGGCCATGGCCAGACTGGGCAGAACTGATGGATACCTGTTGAGGCAGCGGAGCCCCTGGGCTCCCACCCCATTCCCTCCTCCCGGGGCTGCACAGGTGAGTAGGTGGAAGGTAAGGGGCGCAGGGTGGGGAAGGACGTCCCGGCTTAAAGCCCGGGCTGGGAGCGCTGTTCTCGTGGCGCTCGGATCAGGCAGAGAGAATAGGGTCAGCCTTCAAGGCAGCTGTCTCTGGGTGCCCCGGGTGAGGTGGGGAGTGGGGCCTCTCTCCCAGGAGCTCAGAGGCTGGCGGGAGTGAGGACGGGAGGGGCTGTCCCTCGGGCGTTGGTGTATGTGCTCCTAGAGCAGCTCAGGAGGCACGGTGGCTCTGAAGCATCACTCACTTCTGTCCTGTTCTTGACAGCGCCATTCGCGAACGATTTCCCAAATTATTACGCCTGGTAAGTCCGCAGCTTTTTTAACTCTTTTGTCATGAGCATAGCCTCTCCCACCCAAAAGGTCCCGCCTCACGTATGTTTGTATGACCGTGAATTTGGAGACATGGAGCCCTTGGAGGATCTGGCAAAGGTTATATAATCTTTCTTCCCAGAGAAATGCCTGTAGACAAAAGTTGCACCTATCACAGCTCCTGGGATCTTTTCCGTGTCTCTTTGGCCTCTGACCCCCTCACTCTTAGTTGTCCCATCTAATTACTCACCCAGCCTTTTTCATCTCTGTTTATGCTGTCAACTTCCACTTCCTTTCTGCAGGATGGCCATGAGTTACCCCCTCCGATTGCCTTTGACGTTGAAGCCCCCACGACGCTACCGCCCTGCAAGGTAAGAAGTGGGGCAGAGTTAGAACTCGTGTGGGGAGGAGAGTATTGGTTATGGGATTCTGATACCTGTTTGCTTCCAGGGAAGCTATTTTGGAACAGAGACCCTGAAGAACCTGGTCCTGCATTTCTTGCAGCAGTGAGTATTGCCGGAGGACCCCTGAGGCTGGGGAGAGGTGGGCCAGCCCCAGTGCCGCTCACTCGGGGCAGCTGTTGGGTCGTTCTGTGGATCCAGAGCAGGGAATTCAGACTTGCCCTTTTGTGGTTCCCGCAGGTACTACGCGGTGTATGACTCTGGAGACCGGCAGCGGCTCCTGGACGCCTACCATGACGGGGCCTGCTGCTCCCTCAGCATCCCTTTTACCCCCCAGAACCCTTCCCGGTGAGTGTCACTGCCCGGGACCAGCATTTCTCGGCAGATGCAGGCTAGCACCTGCCAGCATCCATCCCACGCTGACCACCGCCTCCTTGTCCACTTATCCCCCTAGAAGCAACCTGGCCGAGTACTTCAAGGACAGCAGGAATGTGAAGAAGCTCAAAGACCCCAGTAAGTGTGTGATGTGAGCAGAAAGCCTGGGACGGAGGTGGGAAGGAATCGGTCACAGAGCTCAGGAGTGTGTGGCAGCCCCTAACCTCGGGTTCTCCCCACAGCCCTGCGGTTCCGCCTGCTGAAGCACACGCGTCTCAACGTTGTTGCCTTCCTCAATGAGTTACCCAAAACTCAGCACGACGTCAACTCCTTTGTGGTAGACATAAGCGCCCAGACAGTAAGCACCTGTTTCTTCCCTGGCCGGAGCCTGAACTTAGGGAAGGAAGGGGCGGTCACGAGGCATGGGGGACTTAGGCTCCGGCGGGGAGCCCACCTGGTGACTGACGCTGCTTCTCTTTCAGAGCACATTGCTGTGTTTTTCCGTCAATGGGGTCTTCAAGGAAGGTGAGAATCTTGGTGGAGTCTGGAGTTTGCAGAGTGGGCCCCTCCTGCAGCTAGATCTTTTTTCTCCACACTCTCGGCTTCTCAGCTACCTTCCCTCTCCTCCCCTGACCTCCTCCTCTTCTGCCCCAAGCCATCTTCATGAGGCCTACCCTCTCCACCTGTCTTTCCTGTCTGGGATATGGGACAAACCTGAGGATTAGGAGGACACAGGCTTTGGTGTCAGGCAGATCCAAGGCTCCATTCCAACCTTGGTCCCGTGTGCCCGTGGCCAATTTACATTAACTCTGAGCTTCAGATTCTTTATTTGTAAAAAGGGGTACTAGCCATCCCCTAGCGGTGCTGTGGGGAGTAAATGAAGGGCTTGCCGTAGGACCTCACACACAGATGTTCTGTGGGTGGGCTAACGGGTGGTTATTGTCCTCGCTGGCCCGACATTCCTCTTCACCTCTGCTCCCCTGTACACACGCAGTCATCCGTCTGGTCTACTTCAGGTTAGTCGTATCAAGTAAGACCGTGATGGGAGAAGCTTTCGGTAAACACAAAGCGTGGCTGATCCTAAGGGGTCATTGCTGTTGTTAACATTACAGTAGATGGAAAATCTCGGGATTCTTTGCGAGCCTTCACCAGGACATTTGTCGCTGTTCCTGCCAGCAATTCAGGGTAAGTGTTTGGCTTACCACATGGGGTCCCAGTCCCATTCCATGGCCAGCATGTGGGAATTGGTAGGGGCGGGGATGGGGGAGCCGGTCCTCAGGATGTTTTCAGAATTTAAGAAAGGCTGGGGGGAATCAGGAGGAAGCTCTCACAATGGTGGTGAGCTTGGCTCTGGAGCCAGGCTGGGTTTTTCATCCTGGCCCTACCACTTCTAGCTAAGGGCAAGTTTCCTCGTCTGGAAACTAGTATATTTACTTCCGTGGCCTGTCGTGAAGATAAATGGGGATGAGAACTGTCCAGAGTTGGGGGAGAATGTGTAATTCTAGTGTGTTCGGTAGAGAACCGCTTACACAGGTTGTGTGGGAAGGGTCGTCAATGATAAAATGTAATGACCAATAGTGGGGGAGGGGTACTTTGTGAATGCTGAAAGAACCTGTCGAGTGTAAGGGTGTCAAGTATGAGAACAGGAATAAAGTTGGGAAGATGAGGTGGTCTGTTTGTCCAGCTGTCTAAAGTGCTTTTTGTCCCACAGGCTGTGCATCGTAAATGACGAGCTGTTTGTGCGCAATGCCAGCCCTGATGAGATCCAGAGAGCCTTCGCCATGCCTGCACCCACACCTTCCTCCAGCCCAGTGCCCACCCTCTCCCCAGAGCAGCAGGAGATGCTGCAGGCATTCTCTACCCAGTCTGGCATGAACCTTGAGTGGTCCCAGAAGTGAGTGCTGGGCATGTGTAGCAGTAGGGGGAAATGGAGGTAGGGGTGGTAGTGAATAATGAGTGCTCCTAAAATTTTAAAAACCAGAACTTATAAATACGGTCCATAAAAAAATGTGGCCTCTGCATAAATCAGCATCACAAAATTTAAAGCCCAGATGAAGTCTCTTTGTATATACTGTTTTACAACTTACCTTTTTGTTTATCTTGTGAACATCTTTCCCTATCACTGTGTGTGTGTGTGTGTGTGTGTGTGTGTGTGTGTGTGTGTGTGTGTATTTTAAATGCTTGTTTATTTTTGAGAGAGAGAGAGAGAGAGATAGAGCATGAGCGGGGGAGGGGCAAAGAGGGGGAGACACAGAGTCTGAAGCAGGCTCCAGGCTCCCAGCTGTCAGCACAGAGCCCAACATGAGGCTCAAACTCACCCTGCAATCATGGCCTGAGCTGAAGTCAGAAGTTTAACCGACTGAGCCACCCAGGCACATCCCCATCACTGTAAAAATCACCTTCCTCCTTTTGACAGCTACTTAGTAATCCTTTGTATCCAGTAGGCCATTGATAGACATTTGTATTGTTACAAGTTTTTCATTTGTATACACAGTGCAAGAATGTATATAATTGTTGGCACACACTGGCAAGTGTTACTATATAATGGACTTTGAAGTGGCATCTAGCCATCAGGGTGAGTGCCTTTTGGTTCTAATGAGGGTGCCTGTTCTTCCCCCACTGCAGGTGTCTCCAGGACAACAACTGGGACTACACCAGATCTGCCCAGGCCTTTACTCATCTGAAGGTAAGTTTGGGGAATTCAGTCGCAAAAAGGCCAGAGATCTCTGGGCCTTCAAGAGGGTCAGGCAAGCTGGGGGTGGGGGAAAGGGGCTGGCTCTGCTGACCTTTTCTTTTTTTGCTAAGGCCAAGGGCGAGATCCCAGAAGTGGCGTTCATGAAGTGATCCGTAGTCATGCCCCAGAAGAAGCCCCCTGTAAAATAGCCCTTGGATATTGACGTCTCCTTGTCATGGCTGTTGTTTTCTCCTCTCTGGCCCCGACCGACCGAGGCCACCCTGTGACTGTGACCGTGACCGAAGAGAATGGGCTGCCGGATCCCTCTCCTCACCTGCCTTCTGGGAGACTTCTGGAAGACTTCCGGAAGATTGAGCCTCACTGGTGCCAGGAAGCCAAAGCTGACTTTGTAGAACTGACACTAAACTACCGAAGGACCTAGGTGCTTTATGTACTTAACCCCAGAACCCTCCTTACTTTTTAAGATAAAGAGTGATATTGTATTTTGTGTCCCGCGTGCCAGATTGTTTTTGCCCCGCCCCTGCCAGGAGGTGGTGCTGGGGCGAAGCCTGGCGGGCAGCCCCCCCCCCCCTCACCCCCGTCCTCCCCTCCCTCCCGGGGCGGGACCCAGGCTGCGGGCAGCCGAGCGCTGGGGGCGGGGCCCGCCTGCCGGAAATCCCGCCCCAGAAGCAGCGCCGCCGTAGTTATGGCGGCGCCCGGGCGGCGGTGGCCGGTGCGGCTGCTCCTTACGCTGCGGCCACTGCCCGTGCACCGGTCCTTGCACGCCGCGGCCCCGCCGCGGGACGTGCTGCTCTTCGAGCACGAACGGGGCTGCTTCTTCGCGGTCCTCGGGCTGTTCTGCGCGGGCCAGGGCGTCTTCTGGGCCTCCCTGGCGGTGGCAGCTTTGGCCCGACCCCCGGCCCGGGCGCTGTCTCCAGACGCGGAGTTCCCGGACCGCGGCCGCTCGGACCTGCGCTCCATGCTCTGGCGCTACGGCCTGGCGCTCGGCTGCGGCGCCATCGGTAAGGCGTGGGCTGGCTTCCCACCTTGGGGACGTGGGGTGGCTGGGCACGAGCTTCCCTGCTCCGACAAGGACAGTGAGGGACTTCCGACCCTCCGAGGCGGGCAGTACTGGAGGTGGGAGGGCCTTGAGCCAAGCTCTCGGACAGGCCTAGGGTGAGGTCAGCCTCTCACTCTGCGAGCTTGAGCAGTTACACGGCCCTGGACCCGTCTCCTTGTCTTTAAAATGGGGGTGGACATTAATGTTGTTGGGAAGGAATGACGGAACACAAGACCCCGGGGTAGAAGAGGAGCTCAAAAAATGTTACCATCGTCGCAATTGTTTTAATTTGGGGGGACCGGAGAGGTTCCTGCTTAGCTCTCCCGCGAAAATGCCCCACCCCAAACTTTGCTCTTCCTGCAGGTACCCTGGTACTTGGTGCCGGTCTCCTCTTCTCCCTCCGTTCTGTGCGTTCAGTGATGCTATTGGCTGGAGGAAAGCAGGTGACCCTCACCACTCACGCTCCCTTTGGCTTGGGTGCCCATTTCACCGTTCCTTTGAACCACGTATCCTGCATGGCCCACCGTGGTGAAGTCCCTGCCATGTTGCCTCTGAAGATCAAAGGCCGGCGCTTCTACTTCCTCTTGGACAAAGCTGGACACTTCCCCAACACAAAACTCTTTGACAACACTGTGGGTGCCTACCGCAGCTTGTGAAGAGACCACCGCGGATGGCTCACCCCTCCCAGAGGGTAATAAAAACCGGACCTCGGGGATGGGGGTCACCCAAGGGGGTCCAGGGTTCATTAACAGCAAATAATAAAAGAGCAGTCATCCCAAAGGCAGCCGACAGTACCTCTGAATTTTGGTTCCATGTCTGTTTGGCTTTTGCTCCTGTCCTCCGATCCACCTGCCTACAGTGCTTTCAACACCAAGAACTCAGTACCAAGATGAAGGAAAAAAGTAATCTAATATTTTGGTACAAAAACAGCTGTAGGAAGAGAGGTGGAGGGAGCCCATTGTCACGTTTCCCTCGTGGAGGGAAAAACAGGCTCCCATTATAAACAGGGCCACGTGGGGGCAAGAGGACTGCAGGCACGTGGGCATGGAGTCTTTGGCTGCAGGAAGGATTTTCTGGTTACTCTTCAGGAAGGGGAAAGGCGTGGCCCAACAAGAACATCTGTCTCAGAGCTCCATTCGGGGTCCCCCCGCTCCAGAGGCCGATAAGGTGTGGCTTCAGACTTCCACTGCACCACCTGAAGCATCAAGACCACACACCACAATACCAGATTCACCCAAGAAGAGGTCTGTGGGAAACAGGAACAAGAGCGTGAGGAACGTGGCCATCTTGAATCCAGTTCCACCCACATACAGCTATTTGCTCGCTGTCAGGTCAACAAGCCCATCAGCCCCTCTCAGCCTCTCACTGGTGGGCACCCTGACAACTACAGATGCTTATAGGAGTCTGTGGACCCCTGAGTTTCCACCTAGTCTTTCATGTCCCAGAACCTCACTTCAGCATCGTATAGGTTGGAGTAAAACTTCAGAGTGGTTCCAGGGGGTGTCCATGGAATTTTCTGGGCTTCAGAGCAGCTGTGAGGTCAAAAGATGGTGGTGAGAAAGGGAGGATATACCCCAAACATACCTGTGCCCGGATGCCCTCTGAGAGGAGAACTGAGAGGGACAAAAAGGGAAGGCAGTCAGCCCCAGCCAGGGTTCCCCCCCCCCCTCCCATTACCTAATTGTAATGTTCAGGGAGACGATGGATTTGCAGAGAGAACGGGTGCCAAATCGAAGGATACAGGCAGACACTAAGACCAGGAAGGTGGCTATAGCAGAGATGGCCAGTGCAATGCGGAGCCCTGTAGGGCCTCTGAGGAGGGAGAGAACAAGCCTTGTGGTTGGAATGGGCCTTCCCCAAGCTCAGCCCCTGACTCTCAGGGTAGGGCAGTCACCTGTGGGAGTCCTCGATGCAGCTGCCGTAGACCCAGAAGAGCAGGAGCAGGAGGCAGTAGAGGGCCAGGAGGCCAGAGACCCCGGCCACAAAGTAGCAGAGGGATGGGGCCGAGGGTTGGGATAAAGCCAGGGAGGAGCCATTGAGGGCGGCCACGCCGTACAAGGGACAGTGGCTACTGAAGGAACCCTGTGAAGAGAAGCTGCTGAGTCCTACCTAGATTTCAGGTTAGAGCCTCGGTGCAGGCTCTGGGCAGGTGTGAGGGATAACCTAGGAGAGGGCCACCCTAGGAAGTTATTTATGCACTGTCAGTTCCTGTTTCTGGGCCAGTAGACTGATGGAGAGGGCCTGCTGGGGAAGTCAAACCTGCAGTGGACAGAAGGATCAGGAAATAGGCGGTGGTTATAAAACACAGTGAGCTTCAGAGATGCCCCACAAGTTCTGGTCTCCCCTCTGCAGAAAGCCTAGAGTAAAACCAGAACTTGTGTAACCTTCAACTATCTCCGATATTTCCTAATCTGTTCAAAACAAAACAAACAAAAAAAAAAAAAACACGAAAAAGGCATAATCGTGCCTTACAGGGTTAAATGAGCCTGTTTATTAACAAGATTGCAGGCTGGGGGGAAAAAAACCCTCCTGCTTTGGGCATTTTCTACCTCCGTATTTTGTCATTCATACACCGTGCTGCAATCGTGTGGAAGCTCGGTCATCTCCGCTACACTATGCTTTATTTCCTGGCATAGCTCGGCACAAGTGCCTCATTTAAACGTGTAGGCAGGGCCCGGGCCGATTTCTGTTTCAGAACCAGCGTAAGGTGACGCAGCCGCAGCCACCAGACCGGGCTACGTGTGGTGCTGGAAGACACTCCGGAAAACCCGTCCCTAGGCGAGGGAATGAATGACTTTTTAGAGCAACGTGGGCGGGCGGGGCCGGAAAGCGCGATAGGCGCCGGTGCATCTCCGCAGCAGACGGGCGCCCGCCGGGCCTCCCCCGACGCCCCGGCTCCGAGGCGCAGCGCGACGGCACCACGCCGGCCCCGGCCAGCCCGCCCCCGCCTACGCGACCCCACGGCCGGCCCCGCCCCGCACCTGGGTCCGGGTCAGCGTCGCGGCCGCCACGGCCCCGCACAGGAAGGCAGCTGTGAATAGCAAGAGCTCGAAGCGCTGCAACCAGGGCAGCGCCATGGCGCCGTCGCCACTAGGAAGCGCCGCCGCGGGAGCCAACCACCCAAGCCCCGCCTCATCCGGCGCGACCCACGAGCGCGCAGACGCCACTTCCGACAGGGGCTTTATTTACAGAGGCCGGCGGGCGGGGCTGGGGGGGGGGGTCAGCGCCGCTTCAGAGCGGCAGGTACAGCGAGTAGTCCGACAGTGCCCAGCGGCGGGCCGGGCGGCCGGTGCGGCCGATCATGGGCAGCTTCTGCACGTAGCGGGAGGCCGGGCTGGGCCCGTACGGCGCGGGGAAGGCGGTCTGGAAGAGGCGCCCGCGGCATCGCCTCCCGGCCTGCCGCCCGGCAATAATGAAGCGGAAGTGGGGGGCGCCGCGCGGGGCGAAACGGCTCTTCTGGAAGACGTCGCGGGTGCCGGCGCCGGGACCCTGCTGCCGGGGCGCCCCCCGCGCCCGATGCACGCGCGGCAGCGGCCTGCTCTCAGAGGCGGCGGGCGCGGAGGCCGCCGCGGGGCCGCCGCTCCGGGGACTCTCGTCGCCCTGCGGGCTGACCATGGCGTTGGCCGTCAGCTGCGGCATCTTCCGCACCGAGTCCGGAGCGGCCGCCGGCTCCTTCTTGTCCCCGGGCGGCCGCGGAGTGGTGGGCGCGGGCTGGCCCGTGCCGAAGCGGGTGGCCAAGCTGTCACCGAAGAAGGCGTACAGCTCCCGGTAGATGTCCGCCAGGGTCACCGATGGGGAAGGATCCTCCGGCCCCGCGCCTCCTGGCGGCGGCGGGACGACAGACCCAAAGCCTGGCTCCGCGCTGCCCCCGGAGGGAGACTCCTGCAGGAGAAGGCTGTCCCAGGGCAGGTCGTCCGAGCGCCGGCACCCCCTGCCGCTTGGGCCCCCCTTGCTGGGCTCTGCCGCCTGGGCCTTCATCTTCAGCAGTCTCTCCACGGCCACCTGTAAGAGCAGAGGGACTAGGATAGGCAAGAACTAGGAGGAACCTGGGCCCATCGAGTTTTCCAAAGTTAAGGCAGGTGAGCTGCTGAGCTCACGCCAGGGAAGGGAGACTGGAAGGGGCAGGCACTCACCAGAATGGCTCCGTAGACCTTGTGTCCATCTGCTTTAACTTGGGCATTAGATACGGAGTAATCATCTAGCACAGCCTGCAGATTTGTCCAGTAAGTGGACAGGTGTGGGTACAGTACTCGTTCCACTGCCTGGAAGGGAAAAGGGAATGCAGTGAGCACCTTGTTGCTTATTGCCTCTCAAGTACCCTTGCCCACGGAAGACGTACTTTTACCTCTGACAGGAAATTCTCAGCTTGGCATATTCAGCCAACATTTGTTTGGAACCCACTGTATGCCCAAGCCTTGGCTAAGCCCTGAGAATGAAGGTCAGGTACAAAAACCACGTAAAGTGACCCTGTTATCACTGACATGTATGACAAGGGCTAGAGGATATAGGTGATGCCCATTGCTAACAGACAAATTTAATTTGCCAACTGTTAACCGTATACAGTCAATAGGCAAGTACTATTGCTTAAATGTACACTGGGACTCCGTTCAGACCACCTGCACAAAAACAAACAACCGATCAGAGGCCTGGACTCTGATCATATGATTTTAATCCTGTGATCAATTTTGAGGAAAGCAATTAAGACCTCACAGAGGATGGACGGCCTCGGTGGCTCAGTTAAGCGACGGACTCTTGATTTTGGCTCAGGTCACAAGCCTGCTTAACATTCCCTCCCTCTCCCTCCACCCACTCCTCTCACCCTTGCACATTCTATTTAAAAAAAAAAAAAGACTTCACAGAGGATGTGACATCTGTTACAGGCTTTGATGCGTTAAGAGTTCTTTGGTTAGGCATCCACAGCCTGAGGATTTGAAAACGTTAAAAAAATCAACAAATTCCGAGAAAAACACAACTTACGGCCGACTCAAGTATAAGAGCTTAAATAATTCTATAACTGTAGTAGTTAAATAAAATAACCACAAAAAAAGACACAGTGCCAACATTTGCAAAGACAGTCTGAGATCTTATCAAAACAAACAAGGGAATGCCTGTGTAGCTCAGTCTGTTATGCACCCAACTCTTGATTTTGGCTCAGGTCATGATCTCCCAGTCTGTGAGGTGGAGACCCGCATCAGGCTCCGTGCTGAGCCTGCTTGGGATTCTCTCTCTCCCTCTCTCTCTTCCCCTCCCCCACTCAGGCTCCTTCTGTCTCTCTCAAAATAAACAAACATTAAAAAAACAAAAACAAACCCTCAATGCAAGAGGAATTGAGGGGTGGTTCCTTAAGATGATTAACAGAGAATGGCCAGGAATTTATGAAGTGGGGATATACTAATACCTGCCATGTAGAACTTTTGAAAGGATAAGACATTTATACACAGAAAGGCAAGCGATCAAATAGTGGGGCCTAAGGCAAGAGCTCGGTACACGGCAACAGCAAGCATATACCTTTTTTTTTTAGTTTTTTAATTTATTTTTATTTTGAGAGAGAGAGAGAGAGAGAGAGAGCAAGCAGGGGAGGGGCAGAGAGAGAGGGAGACAGAAAGAATCCCCAACAGGCTCCATGCTGTCAGCACAGAGCCCGATGTGGGGCTCAAGCCCACGAACCGTTGAGACCATGACCTGAGGCAAAATCAGGAGTCAGATGCCTAAGCAACTGAGCCATGCAGGCGGCCCAAGCATATACCATTTTCATGATAAAAGACACACAAATACTCTTTTTCTGATTACAAATGGGAGCTCTTCCGGCTCTGTGTGTGGGAAAGGCCGGGGTCCTCACCTTCCAGCCGAGGGCATGCAGCCCCACCACAGCCCCGTAGTGAGAGCAGAGAGGCCGCACAGGGTCTGCCAACACCTTCTGCAGGGAGAGCAGGATCTGCTGATAAAGGCCACTCACAAGGTCCCCGTGTGTCCTACGGGAGCGGCATTCAGTCAGAGAGGAGAATGAGGCACAGGGCAGCCTAAACTGGACTCCGGCCGGGGCGCACTGGGGTAAGTGGACGAGGAAGGCTAAGGGGGAGCGAAGGCTACCCGAAGGGCCGGAGGGCCCAACCCTGGGGATATCGGGTGTCTATCTCTAGAATCCCAGCGTGCCGACGCACACCGACTGGGAAGCTCTAATGGAAGAGGCTCCCTGCCCGCTCAACGCATGGCCTCGAAGCCAGACGTCTCAGCCGCTCCCGAACGCAACCCCTCGGCACTGTGACAGCCCCACCCTTCGTTCAGCTAGGCCCAGCGGCTACCAGAAGATGTGGCTGAGCAGGAGGGCAGCCCCATCCCGAAGAGTCCAATGGTCGTTCAGAGGGTTGATGGAGGCAGCCAGTGGCTCCAGCACGCAGTAGAGGACACTCCCTACCAGGGAGCGGACATAGGGCCCCAGGCAGAGGTGTGGGTTCCGAACCAGGCTCCGAGCCACCTGCAGGAGCCGGTGCAGCTGCTCCAGATCGTGGCTTACAGATTTCACCTGTTTGTAGAAGAGGGTCGCTTAGGGTGCCGGGTTATCTCCCCACAAACCATCCCCACCCTGCCCCAGCCACGTCACTCACCCCACTGACCACGTAAACAAAGTAGGGGAGGAGTGCTGCGATCTTGGAGTTCGTCTGCAGGTCCTGGAGAGCGATCTGGAAAGGAAGAGGCCAGACTGCACTGGGTCCTCCAGCCCCAAGTAGAAACTGACATTTTTTTTTTTTTTAATCTTTATTTATTTTTGAGAGAGAGAAAGAGACATAGAGCACGAGCAGGGGAGAAACACAGAAAGAGGGAGAGACAGAATCCAAAGCAGGCTCCAGGCTCTGAGCTGTTAGCACAGGGCCCGATGCAGGGCTCGAACCCACAGAACTGCAAGATCACGACCTGAGCCGAAGTGTGACGCTCAACTGACTGAGCCACCCAGGTGCCCCTAAACTGACATTTTTGAGAGGACAGTTTACTTCTTGTGTATTACAATTTAAATGTTCTCTCTCAAAATAAATAAATTTTTAAAAAATGTAAATGTTCATATTCTTTGATTATTCAAGTGTACTGCTATAAATTTAACCCACCATAAAAGTTACCCACTTACACACATACCCACTCACAGCACAGTCTGTAATAATAAAAACTGCCCACAACCTAAATGGCCAACGTGGTTTTAACTGAGAAAAGCACTTGTTCTAAAACCAGATGTTTACTATAATACCACCTTGGTTTATACTAGAGAAATTACAGTTAAAACTTGGGGAGAAAACATGTTTCCATAGGAAACTTTCACTTTCTTTTTTAAATCTTTTTAAAATTTTTTTTAATGTTTTTTTATTTGATGGAGACAGTGAGAATGGGGGAGGAGCAAAGAGGCAGACACAGAATCCGAAGCAGGCTCCAGGCTCCGAGCTGTCAGCACAGAGCCTGACGTGGGGCTTGAACTCACGAACCATGAGATCATGACCTGAGCCGAAGTCGGCCGTTTAACCGACTGAGCCACCCAGGCGCCCCTAAAAAAATTTTTTTTGACGTGTATTTATTTTTCGGACAGACAAGAGACAGACAATGAACGGGGGAGGGGCAGAGAGAGAGGGGGAAACACAGAATCCGAAGCAGGCTCGGGGCTCCCAGCTGTCTGCACAGAACCTGACACGGGGCTCGAACTCACAAACCACAAGATCATGACCTGAGCTGAAGTCAGATGCTTAACTGACTGAGCTACCCAGGTGCCCCTCTATATTACAATACTTCTATAATAAACATGCTGATATAACTTTTATAAGCAGAAAAAAGAGTTAAGTAAATGAGAAAAGTCCTCTTAACCCTGAATCTCCACTACCTGTGACCTCCAGACCCCTCTGGATAAAGCTCCTATGCTCAGGCACTACGAGAGCAGACAGCAGACTAGTGAGAAAGGAGCTCAGCCCCCAGGCCCCCCATCCATCCCATCGGCACGGTGCCTGGGGAACCTGAGCCAAGCTCCTAAGGAATGGGAGCAACAGCCAGACATGGGAAGAAGGATAGAAACCCCGAGAGGCCACGTGGTGGAGCAGACCAGCAAACTAACGCTCGCCCGACTCTGGACACAGGAGGACTGACCA